GCTATATAAGTGGATGCACAGTGCGTATCGATCAGTTCGAGTTCGAGTTCCAGTGTGGCTACCGCCGAAGACATTCCGAGTTATAAAGTAACAGCCAGCCGACTACAAGTTGAAACATAGCAGCCTGCGAGTGTGCGACAACTAAGAAGTCAGCGAGCGGAAGACTTATTGTGTGCTTTCCAGACATAGTGATTGCTGTAGTACAGTTGTACTCGGAGTGTGTATTTCAAGGAGACTTGTATAGCTTCCGCGTTATCAGTACGTGAAGACAAGTGAAGATTGTGTTAAGAGACTTTGTTGTAGGGTTTGTAAAGTGTGGAAACCCGTGATATTGTGATAATTAAGTGTAGCCGATAGTTGTAGATTGTTCAATAAACCAGTTAACGATCTCAACGGCCTATTCAGTAACGTAAACACGTTACAATATCATAGGGGGACGAAGAGTGGACCAACAGTTGGTCTAAGTGCATGGGGAAACCCACCCTCTCCAATACAATACAATAATGGCTACCACGTATTACAAGCCTATGCAGGAAGACTGTTAGAAGTGACCTTGCTTTTCTGGAGGAGGATACAGCCTTAGACTTACGGATGCTGAGTTTCATACAGTTCGCAGTGCACCAACACACCTTGACTTATTTCCTTTTTTCTGTTCAGGTCTATCGTGGTCTTAAATCCTGCACTTCCCTCGTGGAAAATGTTAGTTTTCATGTTCCTACTCGCAGTGTTAGGGTTTGTCCCTCTAATAAACACTGTCATTCTGCTCTGTGCGCCAGCGCTGCTCGACCTCTCTGCAATTGGAGCCCGTCTCTCTCGATCTATCTAAATTTTTTAATAATATTTATTAATCCTAATATGCTTTTGTTATGTAGTTCTTAATTATTACGTTCTTAGTGCTCCTCTTTGTGTTTGTTCACTCTTTCTTTATTAATGTGCTTTCTCTCTTTGGTGCTTGCCTGAAAATTGTCTATTCTGAACACCAGCAGCGTTGTGTCTGTAATTAGCTTTGCAACTGTTCACTTGAAATTGGCGTCTTTTGGCAGTTCAAGGACGTTTTTGACGAAATTTGCCGAAAACTATATGTCACTATATTTAATATAAGTAGGTGCAAAAGTTTAGTTATAGAACCAAAGCTTCCGTAGGATCTGGGGTAGTTAGAAACATGAAACCTTAAAGGAAAAATGTTTTCTTGATATTGGGATCGTGTTCTTAATATTTTAGCAAAATGGGCCCAAAACTATTTTATGGATACACGGCGAAACTGCAAATCTCTTGACTAATTTTCATTTCCAAATTCATATATTCGGTATTTTTGACAGCATTTCCTCTAACTTATTGAAACTCTGGAGCAGCGCATGTAATTATATCGTTCTGAGAGCAAGGCATTTTTTTTCCCGAAACTTCAGGTACACGTCTCAGTACAACCATAATTAGAGTTTCTGCTTCCTACAGAATCTGGTTCCACAAATGAAACAAAAGAGTGTGTTGCATCAAAGGCTGGAATCGTATTCAAATTAATACAGCTTCATTTTCATCCATCTGATGGATCCTAATTAGGGACGCATGAAGCGGAAAAAATGTCAGCATTCATTTATTATAGATGTGATTGACAAGTTACTAGCTCTTGCAGAATTCTGTACCACAAGGAAAGACAGAACAAATGGATGGTCAGTACCCAATACAAATTGAAAGAAATATATCATGGCTTCAACGAATGGCAGAACTGAACTAAGCCGACTATGATCAGACTGTGATATCGGCAGTTAAGTAGCCGTTGTGTGACTCATGGCCTGGGAAAAAGACAGGAAGATTCTGTTGCTACTGACCTACTGTGGCATAGGCAGATAAACTGGAGCACGTCTGTGTTTATATAGCGTGGCTTGTTGGCCACTGGTGCAGACCTCGTTTTTTCTTCGGAAAGCTACGCCTAAGTTTCCCGCTGACAAACCATGGGAAAGTTAATTTTTTAGAACGGCGCTAATACATCGAGTCTGGATTCTTGAAGCAATGAATAGCAGATTAATTTTGGGTAATGTTTCTTATAATTGAGTTCGGAGCCTGTTGTCATATTGACTGCTATAAAAAAACGCAAANTGAAAGTTAATTTTTTAGAACGGCGCTAATACATCGAGTCTGGATTCTTGAAGCAATGAATAGCAGATTAATTTTGGGTAATGTTTCTTATAATTGAGTTCAGAGCCTCTTGTCATATTGATTGCTATAAAAAAGCGCAAGAATTAAAACATACAAAACTGCAATTTTTCCTGCAGTTTCTTATAGCTGTGATACCTAGTATGTCACATCGTGACAAGATCAGATTAAGAGCGCTTGAGAACAAGGTGCAGAGAACAGGGTGCATAGAACAGGGAGCTGAGAACAGGGCGCAGAGAAAAGGGCGCAGAGAACAGGGCGCTGAGAACAGGGCGCTGAGAATAGGGTGCAGAGAACAGGGTGCATAGAACAGGGAGCTGAGAACAGGGCGCAGAGAACAGGGCGCTGAGAACAGGGCGCTGAGAATAGGGTGCAGAGAACAGGGTGCATAGAACAGGGAGCTGAGAACAGGGCGCAGAGAACAGGGCGCTGAGAACAGGGCGCTGAGAATAGGGTGCAGAGAACAGGGTGCATAGAACAGGGAGCTGAGAACAGGGCGCAGAGAACAGGGCGCAGGGAACAGGGCGCAGGGAACATATAGGATAGAACAGGGTGCAGAAAACAGGGCGCTGAGAATAGGGTGCAGAGAACAGGGTGCATAGAACAGGGAGCTGAGAACAGGGCGCTGAGAACAGGGTGCAGAGAACAGGGTGCAGAAAACAGGGCGCTGAGAATAGGGTGCAGAAATGACAGGAGACTGGAGAGAACTGCATAAAGAGAAATTAAACAGATTTTGCTTCTCGCTAAATATTGTTAGAACGATTACACCAAGGAGGATGATGTGTGCAGGGCATGTAGCACGAATGGAAGAGAAGAGCATACGAAGTATTGGTGGCAAACCCTGAAGAAAATAAAACCACTAGACCGGAATATTAAAGTGTGTATTAATGAAATGACATGTGGGGCTATGGGCCGGATACAGGGGGCTCAGGATAGGGACCAATGGTAAGTTCTTGTGAACACAGTAATGACATTTCTGGGTCCATTAAACAGTTTCCATATCTTGAGACGCTGCTTCAGAACGATTCAGCATCAGATTGTTAAGTAGTAATTTGTTACTTTTATTATTATGATTAGGTAGCACTACTAGAACTACCAGCAGAATTCAGTAGTAGTATTAGTAGTAATAGCAATAGTAGAATTAGAATTGCTACCGTTCAGTCCAGAACCTTTTGTCTTCTCGTCTGCTGTCCAAAAAAATAAAAATTAGAATATACAAAATTATAATTTTGCCTTTGGTTCTATATGGGTGTGAAACTTGGTCTCTGACTTTAAGGGAGGAACATAGACTGAGGTTGGTGAGGAGAATATTTGGACCAAAGAGGCATGAAGTGACAGGAGGTTGGAGAAAACTGCAAAATGAGGAGCTTCATAACTTGTACTCTTCTCCAAGTATAATTAGAATGATCAAGTCAAGGAAGATGAGGTGGGCAGGGAATGTAGCACGAATAAGGGAGAAGAGGAATGCGTATAGGATTTTAGTGGGAAAGCCAGAAGGAAAGAGTCCACTGGAAAGACCGAGGCGTAGTTTGGTGGACAATAATAAAATTGTTCTTAGACAGGATGGGATGGTATTGATTGGATTGATCTGGCTCTGGATAGGGACCAGTGGAGAGCTCTTGTGAACACGGTAATGAACCTCCGGGTTCCATAAAATGCTGAGAACTTCTTGAGTAGCTGCAGAATTGGCGGCTTCTCAAGAAGGGCTCAGCTCCATGAGTAACTAACTCCGTATCGTATTCCGTATTGGGGAGGTGGGTTTCCCCATGCACTTAGACCGGTTATTGGTCCATTGTGCGTCCCCCTTTTTAATTTCTACTGTCTCCATACCCTACCGGTACTAGTGCTTACAATCAAACCCTTTCTGCCAGCGAGGTTCCAACCTCCTCTGGCAGTGGTATCTAATAGTTAGTCCCTTTCTGTCAGAGGGGTCCCCCCTCCTCTGGCAGTGGTACCTAATACTTCCCCCATCTACGGGAGGAATTGGAAATTACTAGGGCGGGAAATTTTTTGCCTGATTTAGCTCAGAGGTCTCCTAGAGACATGAGGTTCTTTTACGTGCCGTAAATCTACGACACGGGACCCACGGCTTAAAGTCCCTCCCGGAGGACTTGTTCCCTGAATTTTTCTGCCCTTTAAAAATTCCACGACCTCCGCCGGATTTGAACCCGCGTACCTTGACTCATGAGGTGGGAACGTTACCCCTAGGCTACGGAAGCCTCTTCCATGAGTAAGTAAGTAAGAAACAAATTTACGTGACTGTCATATATATATATATATATATATATATAACTTTTTACTGACGGTTTTCATTCAGTCACCCCGCAGTCAGTTCACTATTCCATGAATGTGGATACATTGAATCATGGCTTCCCCAACAAATGCAAAATATGCTTTGAGATGAGTTGATGTATCTCCAGTCCTAATTTGCAACTAAATATTCTGCTCCGTCATTAGTGCCCAAACAATAGGCGGCAATGCCAATTATAGAACGCCCACGAAGTTTTCCAGTTATATTGCGCATGCGTCCGTAAATGACGTATTTCATTCACAGAGTGCGTACTTTGTACAAAACTAGTCGGTATCTGAATTCCCTGCATTGCATATGTGAATATCAGTTTTCTGCCTTGAAGATAGGAGCAGTAGGTGTTTTCGAAACTTTCGTTCCTATCTGAAGGACAATATCAATACACTTTCCAGAATATGGTGATCTTAATACCAAGTTTGTTGGTATGGTAGCCAGGTTATATAGCAAATTCCTAATTAGCATTACTAATTAAGGGAAACAAATATTGTTTGTTCATTTCATTTTATTTACTTTTGTGTCATTTACCTTTATTCTCTAATAATTTAGTTTACCTTCGATTTATATTTTGTTTTTGTATTTATTTATTTGTGTAACATTTGAATGCACTTTCCAACATACATGACGAAGGAATGACGTGTATTTATATTTATTCTGCTGTGTTCTGCTTCGGGTGTCCTGATGTTTTGGCATCCGTTTTCTGTCCTCAGGGCTGCGTCTGTACAAATAAAACAATTGGTGGGGTGTACATCTGTGACGTATGCCTGAAATAATAATTTGATAAAGACGCAAAAGATAAATGTACAGACTAAGTAGCCAACATGGCAATGAAGATGCACCAAAATCTGTTACAGAGTCAGGTCTCACGGTTAATAGATCACCTAAAAAGTAAGAGTAAATAAGAGTACACTGTTCGTTTTACGAGTAAAAGAAGTTATATTGTTCTTATTGTGTCAAAATATTAATAATATTAGTAACAGTAATGATTAGGATATTAATTAAAATACTCGTAATAAAAATTCAATTGAAATTAATGCTTTATTATTTAAATGCTGAGTCAACAAGCACAAGGCCAATTACAGACACAGCATAATAATAATAATAATAATAATAATAACAATAATAACAATACGTGTTTATTTACGTGCAAACCTAACAGCACAGTGGCCAATTACAAATTTGGCAAGAGTAGACAGAAATACATAAAAATAATTAAAGAGCAAAATACAAAGTATAACAGTCTGTATAATAGCAATAAATTACGTAATAATACTTCCAAGAAAAATTGAAGTTAGCTTTAAGAGGCGAGAAAAGTAAAATAAGTACATTTCCAATAGTTATGCCATTTGTTGCGAGAAAATGACAGTACATATACATACACGCATAGAAGTTAATAATAATAATAATAATAATAATAACAATAACAATAACAATGACGAAACTTAGAATAATACCAGTTTTTATTTGACATGAAATTTTGTAATGAAGTAGCATATATACTAAATTTTCATTCGGTTGAAAATTGTAGTATATTTCATTTTTGTCCTTGATTTAACACAGACACAAAAAATAGAATATTGTGACGTTCTTTCAAAATTCTTACGATTGTTTACTTTTCGATAACTATCGACTTAGAATCGATAAATATCACATCGTAGCGTTCCTTAACCACATAAAATCAAGGAAAACGATATGATCGGGAAAGGAAACATCTAACCATGACAAGGGTTTATGTATTGACTGAAGTTGTGAAACCCATGGTTAAATCCAAACCGGCCAAAATCCACAGACATTCAGCTGGGCCCGCTAACATGAAATAAAATTTAGTCTAGTGATTTCAATGCCGTGTTCCCAGAACACGACAAGCAGCCAGCAAGAAAGAACTTATATACACTAGATACTTACGAGATTAATTTCGCTTCAAAATTCTTTTGGCAGTTGCCACAGACTGTATGCTTCAGAAGGTCGAGTGCGTGTCATGGCTGAGTTGACGCCGGAAGTGTGAGGACAGGTCTGACAGCCTCCACTACCCCACTCGACGTCGACGGTAAGCCGCCTAACGACAGCGTTCTATAGACGTCACCTATCTAAATCTGGACGTAAATTTGTCTGGGGAACGCCTGACGTCTGGGGCACAGAAGGTTAATTCGCCATTCGGATAAGAGGATATTCATTCCGTAAAGAAAAGCAATTTGAAATTCAAAGAATATACCTCAGGACACGGCATCATTTTTCATATTCGCATTATCCACGTCGGAAGAGCTGTTTTATGTCACTGTGATACATGTTCGTAACTCCTCGTCGTATGTAGAATCTAATTTCGGAGCAGTTACCTGACCTCCAATCACCAGTCATCGGGAATATTATAAATTACGGTATTAAGAAAGAAATTAAAAGCATGGTAGTCTCTAATCGAAATTTTACCTCCTGTACCTTTGATTAGAATTACCCATACTAATTATTGAGAAGCCGGTCACGGTAACCGAGCGGTCTAAGGCATGTACTGTCTTCGCTCGCTTGGAAACCGGGATCGTGGGTTCGGATCTGTTTCCTGTTAGGTACGGACTGAATTCTTATATATTATTCTTATACACTGCCGGTCACGGTAGCTGAGCGGTCTAAGGCATATACTGTCTCCGCTCACTTGGAAACCGGGATCGTGGGTTCGGATCTGTTTCCTGTTAGGTACGGACTGAATTCTTATATATTATTCTTATACACTGCCGGTCACGGTAGCCGAGCGGTCTAAGGCATGTACTGTCTTCGCTCGCTTGGAAACCGGGATCGTGGGTTCGAATCCCACTCAGGGTATGGATGTTTAGTTTGTGTGTGTGTAGGGGTAGAGGCCTTGCGACGAGCTGATCACCCACCCAAGGAGTCCTACCGAATGTGTAAGATCTAGAAAAATAGAAGTGAACGGAGAAGTTCGTGGAGGTAGGCCTAGGCCCACTGGAGCTGTAGTGCCAAGGAGAAAAAAATATTGAGAAGGTACTCCATACTGAGTTTAAAGGAACTCAACAAACTGAACATAGTTCCTACTACTGCGATTATCCTGTTAGCCTAATACTTCAAAGTTAATTCCGCCTGAATATCCTACTAACGCGACACTAACAAAAAAACAAAGCGTTATATTATTTACACCATGTGGTACGGAAGGGCGTGAATAGGACGTTACTTGAAGGGTTGAAGATATTTAACACTGAAAGGGCAACGGAATTTGGAGATACTAGATTCAGCCAGTGTCTGATCATGCAGTGTAATCTGGCCTTGAGATAATACTGGTAAATCTTAATAGCACGCGTCCTGTTATGTGTTATGAACAATGTATATAAAGGTATATACACAACAATATTCTGTGTTAAAAAAAAGAGAGAAGACACTGCTGTATCAACATTTGTTTTTAATAAATAATAATAAATAAATGTATTTAAATAATTTCAAAAGAAAATAAGGATCCTTATTTGAAGAATTAGATGAAAATTAATTGCAATTAAAAACCTGAAACTGGAGCATTGTGCTCCTGATGATGACCCGGTGTAAAGGTCGAAACATATTATGTGTGTAAAAACAAAATAAAATCAAATGTTGATAAAGTAGCGTCTTCTTTGTTTTTTAAATACAATACTATTGTTATGTAGACACATACCTTATATACTTTTATATATCTTGTTAATACTGCTAAATGTTGGACATTGCCAATTGTCTTGAGTTTTTTTCATACATGTAGGCATGTACCATGTCACAGGAATTGTCTCTACCTGTGTCATCAGTGATTTGTTGTCACTATATTGGAAAATTTGGCATTATGATTTTGGTAGAGTATTGAGAACATCATGCGTTGAGTGCAACTCTCACCACCAACATTAAAATTAAAAAGAAAATTAATCACAAACCAATTTCAAACATAAAAGTAATAACAGATCTGTCACTGAAATTACAACCAATCACTTGAAAACGAAACACGCTCCATAGACGTTATACAGGCAATGTGTGACCTGAAATTACTTAGAAGGGTGAAACATTGTCGGAACCCTTTACAGAAGTATTGTATCTGGGATTAATTACAGTTTATTTCACAAAATATGTATAAATATACTTTCACAGCGAGTGAAAAAATACATACATGTATGAATATCATCGCCTGACTCGTAACCCATTGGCTGAACCTCAATTTGCATGAAACTTGCAGAAAATTGGAACACCGAATCAAACTTCAATTGAACTTTTGAACTTATGCTTATAAATTGTCATAAATAAAAATATTATACATTCGTCAAAATGAAAGGTCCTCTCCCGAGCATGTGAAAACATTTCGCATTACAAGCTACATCTCATGATGGCGGTATTATTGAAATAATAAACGTTAGAGAGAGGATAACTTTATGATAATTAATCCCTTATGAATAGTACGTACTAGAAGTTTCGTTACCTCAAAAATAAATTCCAGCAGTTGGCTCCTGTCCAAAACCAACTGTATGCAACCCTCATCGCCTTCCCTTCTCGGCGTTTCTCTGACAAGTGTTCTTTTTCCCACAAAGTTTCATGGCTTTTTAAAACGTGAATAAGCTCTCCCAACTCGTGGCATGCTCCTTGCGATTTCTCTATGAAATTATCCGCACAATATTGTGAACATATTCAAATTAATGAAGTTTCTAGCTGGATATATTCTCCATTTCCTTTTTAACCCTTCTCATAAATGTATAAATATTTATAGTAAAGCAACCCTTTAAACGTAATCCTGATGTTTATTGGTTTCAGTTCCCCCCCACCCCAGTAATTCGATGACTTTTCGCGCAGAATAAGGTCCCCGTTATAATTTGAGAGTGAAGACGTTTCGGTCCTCAAGAATCGCGTTGTTGTCATGTTTAGGTTATACAAGTTTAGAGCACTGAAATAAAATGAGATCTAGTTCCTCAGCTACCGTGCTGCGCTGATGTCACGTGATCGAATCCTAGTTTTTCTTTTTCTGTGGCGTCTAGGCAACTCTGTCAGCTTCCAGACTGTGTCGTGTCGAATGGTCAGATGCATGATACGTGATGACTTGGGAAATGTTTGTAAGCAAGATGTTGGTACCTTATCGAAGCAGTATCCAGTGTTTTTTTTTTCTGGAGGGACTGATGTAAATCTCAAAAGATTCTCAGAATAACCGGTGACACGCCAGAGATTAGAACCGAGTACCTTCTGAATACGAGTCCAAAGTGTTATTATTATTAACTTAATGCCATTATATAGACTGTCTTATTTGTATTTTGTTTTTTAGTTTTTATGTATTTCTATGTACTCGTGCCAACTTTGTTATTGGCCTCTGTGCTGTTAAGTTTGCATTTAAATAAACACGAATTGAATTGAATTATTATTTTTTTTGTTTGTTTACTTGTCTGCATTAATGCGTTTTTCCTCGAGTGCTTGCCTGTAATTTGTCTTTGACTTTATGTTGTGATTGTCCATAATGTAATTACTTTTATCTAAACTGTGCTGTGTCTGTAATTGACCTTGCGGCTGTTGACTCGTCACATAAATAATAAAGAATTGAATTGAATTATAATTATCATCATCATAATCATTAAATTAGAATATGTTTCGGCCCCAGCTGACCAAGCTCAGGTGTCTTCCTTTGTTAAAATTATGTACTGTATTGAATGTCATTCACTTCACATGTAGCTGTAGTATTTCAGGATTTTAAATGTTGTAATCACAATCTGGCTAACATTAGTTAGATTATCATACGCTGTAATTTACTTTATATTAAAATTCTTTAAAAATTATTTATTTGTTTTTTGTAAAATTCTCTTTTATTTATTTATTTATTTATTCTTGATTTTTTTTGTAAAATTCTATATTATTTATTTAGTTATTCTCAGTTTTTTAATTCCATTTTATAAAAAAATAAGAAAGAAATACATTTTAATGAATTTTAATATAAACATAGGTAGACTGTGATTACAACATTTAAAATCATGAAATGTTTCATTTACATATGAAGTGAATTCAATACAGCATAATACTTTCAGCAAATTAAAGTACATGATGATGGCCGGTTGAGGCCGTAACATGTTGTAAGAAGGAAAATGAAATGTAAATAATGAAAATAGTTGCAGTGTTGATGGAACTGTTATTGTATGTAAAATTTAGAGTAATGCAACAGTTTGCTTAAATAAAATATTATTAAATTATATTTCTCACCCTTAACAAGACTAATGTCTCAGGATTTAGATTTTAGTCAGAGTGTCACATCTGCAAACAGTATCTGCAGATTTCTGGACTTTTCTAATGATGACACTGTCTTCCTTGAGGTATCCCTCTTATTCATTCCTGATTGATTCTTGGTTCCTGTTAATTTTGTTATCGTGTTATCTGCACTGTTTTACTTCTAGTACGGGATTTTTAGTTTAGTCGGAATTCTGGGTCTTGAACTTTGCCCATCCTGTGGTGTTCTAAAAACGAGAGGACAGAATGTTTCGGCAGGATCTGCTTCCTTCTTCATGTGAGAGAGGAGACACCTAGCCTGTAACGTCAGTCACCGGATAACCTGTGTCTCCCCTCTCACCTGAGGACGGAAACAGATCAAGTTTCCTAAACTTTGTATTCTATAGTTTCTAGAATACCGGGCGATTGACAAAGAGCAAAAACCAAGTAATTCCGAATCTTGAAAACACCACCGTCAGAACTCTTTAGAATCTACTTTTAGTTTAGTGTTTTCTCAAGGTTTAGTTTTGTATACTTTCAGGCACTCATATAAAGGAAATGAATTATTGTCATCATAATCATCATTCTTTGGAAAGACATGTTGCTTAAATAGAAATGTTTGCATTATGATAATAGGGGCAGTGTGGACTTTGAATCAGTATCATCATACGATTTCTGATCAGTTTTAAGACCTCAGGAGGCTGACACTGAAGTAGACACTCTTCAGAAAGAACACCTGACTTCTGTAGAGTTTAACCTCATTCTCCAGTTGATTTCCCCCCTTCCGTCCTTATTACGTTCAGATATTGCGAAGGCATCGCAAAATTCATTCAAAACGAAGAGTGTACATCGCAGTATTGTTACTGAATAAGAGAATGCTCCCGCAATGCTCCAGATATTTCAAAAAGTTTTCCAAAACCTCTGTGAATTTGCTTATTTCAATTATCCCCACATTTTTTTTTTCAAAAGAAGTTAATGACCAATACTAAACTTGACCATTGTGTCATTGGTCAGTCAGTCAATCTCGGTGTTAAGCCCAGTCTGGGGCTCATGACCAGATATTTATTACTGTTTGACGGTTACGGTCTTGTTATTGTGGGGCGTCCTCTCTGACGAGATGACGAGTCAGTCCTTCATTAGGGTCATTGTCCGCAGTAGTAAGTCATTTGTCATAACGTAAAAGATATTCACAGTTTACATGTTAAACATGTTAAAAAGTGCATATACAACATATAAAGGGCCTCTGTTATTCTAGGCTCAGTACAGCAGATTTCTCCCTATTGCTAGTAGCTTCCGCTACAACGGCAGCCAAGTCACTTGAACGGTCGTATGCGTTGACCGCCACCAATTTTAAGCCTCTTATACTTTCTATATCGGGCTTCGCCTTGCCCAATATTACGAACATTTTCGTTTCATGATTTTGTATGGCTTCTGTTTGTTGCCTGTATAATTTTCACTGACTACGTCCTCTTATAGGACCTCCTCACGCTTTAGTCAGTCGATACGTCATACTGAAATTATTCTGTGAATATACAGAACTAAAATTTTGCCTGTGGTTCTGCATGGATGTGAAAATTGGTCTCTGACATTAAGGGAGTAACATAGTCTGAAGGTGTTTGAGAACAGGTTGTTGAGAATATTTGAACCGAAGAGGGATGAAGTGGCAGGATGTTGGAGAAAACTGCATAATGAGGAGCTTCATAACTTGTACTTTTCTCCAAGGATAATTAGAATGATCAAGTCAAGGAAAATCAGGTAAAGAGGGCATGTAGAACGAATGGGGAAAAGAGGAATGCATATAGGATATTGGTGGGAAAGCCAGAAGGCAAGAGACCACTGGGAAGACCAAGGCGTAGGTGGGTGGACAATATTAAAATGGATCTTAGAGAGATAGGATGGGATGATATGGATTAGATTGATCTGGCTCAGGATAGGGACCAGTGGAGGGAGGGCTCTTGTGGAAACGGTAATGAACCTTCAGGTTCCATAAAATGCTGGTACGTTCTTGTGTAGCTGCAGAATTGGTGGCTCCTCCAGAAGGGCTCAGCTCCATAAGTAAGTAAGTAAGTAAGTAAGTAAGTAAACAACCTTGGAAGTAGGAGAAGGTGCGTTCTGTTTCATCCAGAAATGTAGATCACCTTTAGGTTCATGAAGATTCTGTCTGTGTAAATAGCACATTTGTGCTTTAATCAATCGATATGTTATATTGAAATTATTTTCTTATAATTAAGTAAAAATTGACTAATATGAGGTTGACATCTTACAGTTAATAACGCTCAGGCATTTGTTTCCTCGCCACTCCATCCCACAGGAGCCCAGAAGACAATGGTCTGCATTAAGGACTTCTCGTTTAGTTGCATGTACGTCGCGGAATCACCTAATGGACGCCACGTCATGTTGGTCTTTTAATTTCAACAGGAGACAAAGGACTTTGTGTTCTGCAATCAGAAGTGAGTGGCATCTCGCAAACAATGGAACACGTGTACAGACTTTATATTTATCCTGTGGTTATGTAAGAATATTGTAACAGCTGCTCTTGATGTATGAAAACAAACGATTCCAGGCAGGCTTTTTGACGTCGGTTTCCGTACCGGGTGATTTCACCTGCCATCCCTGCTTCACAAAATGTTACTAGAGATTTTTTTTTTCACTGGGATGTATAGGTTCTTCTGTTCATAGTCATCGTTTCATTAGCGCCACCGCTAATTGGGGTGGGAGACAGGTTTGATAATGCAGCGCATTGTCATATCCACACTTCTCTTAAGTCGGGAGCTTCATCTCTCGCCATACACTTTGCTCGTTCCTGAGTAAAGAAGCTAAGTCCGCTGATAGATGTGAGGAAGGTCAAGGCCATACATATTTTGAAGGCCTACATCAGTAATAGGGTGCACGCTGTGTCGTAGTTAGTTAATTAGTTAGTTAGTTAGTTATTTNGAAGGCCTACATCAGTAATAGGGTGCACGCTGTGTCGTAGTTAGTTGAAGAACTATGATACAAGCCGGGTCGCGGGTTTGATTCCCGATGANTCCATTGTGCTTCCCTCTATGATATTCTACCAGTCTCTATACCCTACCGATATTGGTGCGTATCATCAGTCGCGACCGAGCCAGCGAGTTCGGCCTCTACTGGCTTAGCGGTATCNTTTTCAGTTGACCTAATCCTTCCAATCACACTATGGCCCTGGGGTCGGCTCAGCCCCTAACAGAAATTAATACCAGGAATCATCCTGGAGGCAAAGGGCGGCCGTTGTATAAGACCGACACCCTCACCACCATCCGTGAGCAGATTGTCTAGAAAATGTAGGAGCTTTGATGTCTCACAACCCTATGGACTTCCACGGCCTGTTACAGGGATAGCTTTACTTTTACCCTTTATATCAATAATGATTTGAAAGTGCTCAGAANAGTCCCTCCCGGAGGACTTGTTCCCTGAATTTTTCCGCCCTTAAAAATTCCACGACCTCCGCCGGTTTTGAACCCGCGTACCTTGACTCACGAGGTGGGAACGTTACCCCTAGCCTACGGAGGCCGCTTGTGTCGTAGTTAGTTCAGGAACTATGCTACAAACCGGAAGGTCGCGGGTTTGATTCCCGACGAGGTCATTGGATTTTTAAATTTACCTAATCCTTCCAACCANAGTACCAATGAGATCTAAGGATAATCGGCCACGGTAGGCATTCTAGTCGGTTACCTCACCACTAAGGAACAGTAATGGTGGCCAGTTGGTGCAACGAATTAGACCTTCCTGACTGAGATCTGCTTGCCGTCTCAAAAGTCCAGTTCCATATCTTTCGGTTCACATGTTCAGTAATNTCACAACCCTATGGACTTCCACGGCCTGTTACAGGGATACCTTTACCCATCAGTAATGGGTACCAATGAGATGTAAGGATAGTCGGCCACGGTAGGCATTCTAGTCGGTTACCTCACCACTGAGGGACAGTAATTGTGGTCAGTTGCGGCAACGAATTAGACCTTCCTGACTGAGATTTGCTTGCCGCCTCAAAAGTCCAGTTTCATGTCGTTCGGTTCACATGTTCAGTAAACCAAATTGCAGGCCTGTTATGTAGGAAGATTGATGTATTCAGGCAAGCTATTGGATACACCGGTTACACGCCAAAATATTGTGACATGTACATCACTACTAGGCAATGTACGCAGCACAAACTCGGTCCAACACTCAACAGTGGAACAAAGGGGTTATGCAACCCGCTTCTAGGCAACGGCTCGGTAAACACTTCCACACATAAGCAATTACGTCACCTAAACAGTGCTTAGTTACCACGTGACGTCTTTTCTGCACGTCCTCGCCGGAGGTTTATGGGGGACAACAAAGGTCGTTTGCGGGCAGTCGTAAGCTGGAGGAGCGAGTAACAGACCGACTGGATTTGAATTCCGAAGTTCCAAGAGATCACAGATAATATTTATCTTGATATATTGGGGAACTTCTCTTTTCGCATTTGGAATATATTGAGACGTATTCAGTAAGATTTAACATCGCCTAATTACAGCAGCACGTGTATGATGCACTGAATGAGATATATTCTGTGAACTGGATGGGTAGGGGAGACCTAATCATGTGACAACTGACGTCATCAGATTTTATGCCCCTGGGCTGTTGCTTTTCTTATAACGCTATATCAGAAATCGGTCATATGGGTGTACAGGGCAGGTGTCACGTTTAGACGGCCTCAAATAACGGATTAATGCAACTGTTGAGAGAGTAACTGGACGTTGCTGAGGCATGACTCGGGTGGGATCAGTTACTGGCTAATATATGTAGTGTTACTAGAGAACTCAACTGGAAATTTATAGAGAAGCTTCTCGACTTAACACTCATTCAACTGCTTTATTTTCTAAAGTGTATACCGGTTGCGAAAATATAGTTTTACACAACCACGGACTGCGGTAGGTAAAAATCATAATGAAACTAAAAATATGTGACATTTAAAGACGAAGATGATCTTAGTATTTTCGTTGTTGTCAATGAATAGGACACCCAAACGCTGGTTTTCGTCTGTTGTTGGCTTGGAGAGAAAAAGAGAAGGGATTCTACACGACTGATGTCTTGGAGCGAGAGTTTGGGTCTTCAGTCTTCTGCTTAGAGGATTAAATTAAATTTATTTCACACGAATTATTTTCTAACGATTGGAAAATATCTGGAACTTAAGGAATAATAATATGGAGAGACGAAAACTGCAAATGCATCAGCCTCACGAACACAGATATCTGTTGGCGAAAGCCATATAACTAAGACTTTTATTGAAAGAGAGGTAGAGTAAATGAAAGTGTTCTTTAACCGTTCTGTCCCTGAGCATGGAACAGAGGGTCGTCGTCTGCTACTGGAAATATTCTAATAGTTTTGGCGTCTAGTGAAAACGTAGTACATAGACTGAGGGTGTTTGAGAACAGGGTGTTGAGGAGAATATTTGGACCGAAAAGAGATAAAGTGACAGGAGGTTGGAGAAAACTGCATAATGAGGAGGTTCGTAATTTGTACTCTTCTCCAAATAAATTTAGAATGATCAAGTTAAAGAAGATGAGGTGTACAGGGCATGTAGAACGAATTGGGAAAAGAGGAATGCATATAGGATAATGGTGGGAAAGCCAGAAGAGAAGAGACTACTGAGAAGACCAAGGCGTAGAAGGGTGAACAATATTAAAATGGATATTACAGAGATAGGATGATATGATATGGATTAGATTGATCTGGCTCAGGATACAGACCAATCTTGTGAACACGGTAATGAACCTTCGGGTTCCATAAAATGCTGGGGAATTCTTGAGTAGCTGCAGATTTGGCTTCTCCTCAAGAAGGGCTCATTTCCATGAGTAAGTAAGTAAGTAAATATGAATATTTGTGCCAGCTTTGAACAATCGTTGTGGAAATTTCAGTTCCCTTCTTGTAACTTGTAAAAATGTCATGGAGCACGTGCCACTGAATTATCTGAAGTGTAAGGATTTGCAACAAATGAAATTGGGCTCCTTTGCCTTATAGTATACATTCATTAATTCAAATTATCTGTTGCTCCCTTTGAAACATAAGATATCTGTGATACGCTTCGTTTCACTTAGTGTCGTAACCTTATAGTGAGTCTGTAGGCCTTCTTGTACTGGCGATCAGCCCGTCTCAAAATCGCTACCTACACAGGACAACACAAACACAGAATAAAAGGAGATAGACATCCATGCCTCGAGTGAGGTTCGAATCCAACACCACAGTGTGTGATCTAATGAAAACATCTACGTATAAATGACTACATATACAATATCCTTTCCCATTAGCCACAATAAAATGGAGTAAACGCCTCTTACCAACATCTTGAAGCATATAATCTGATTCTTACCCCAGCAAAAACATATTCATCGTGGTTTTGTATGATTTTCTCGTGCATGGGGTTAAATTTATTGCCAACGGAAGTTGCCGTCACATCCGCTCCGCAAAGACGAACAGTTTATTTCCTGTTTCAATCTCCGGAAAATTGCTTAGTCGACTTGAGGGAGACGGATTGGGGGCCAAATTACATTTATCCACCTCAGTGCGATTCAGTTGATGCAGTCTCCGTTGCATCTCGAATGAGACGCTGCAGGATGGGGCACGAGGCCTTTGTGAGGCGTGACTTCGAAATGAGGCATTTCTCAGAATCGTTTTCACAGACGGCAGTAGCGTCCACATATTTCTGGAAACTTTGAGCGGCCTTCGCTGGGGGACGTCACAAAAACGTTGGTTTATATGTATATTATGAGTTTATTTGCATATATATGTATATATTTATTTATTTTAAGCGCATGTCAGTAGTCCACTTTCGATGTTAATGAAAAATAAACTGGAAAGGAAGGTGAAGGAAGAAATCGTACCTTAATTTGAGGCAATGTCCCGGAAATTGACTCAAGAACCCGAGAAAAATCAAGAAGAAACAATGTCCAGATGGCCCACAAGAAAGGTCGAGGTTTGAAGCCAGGAAGCAGGAGCCCTATCCCCTCCACCGTGACATTCAGCTGTGCGTATGTTGACCCGGTCATGTGAGAAACAGCGGAGTTTATTGTTTCGTGATTAATGTGTACGTGTTATATGAGCTGTGGATTCCTGCTGCTATTTCAAACATTTGTGTTCCCTTGCAAATTATTGTCACTTGTAGGGGATTGTAACTATTAGAAGGTTTTGGATCGGATGATTGGATTTATTGACACCTTATGCAATCAACTCGTAACTACAAGTAACAGCGTTATCGGTTATCTACACAATTTGCCAATAACCAGGACACGCTAAATCTTCTCTATCTTCATTAGTCGTACCCTGGCAACGGATTTATAAGAGTCTCACTGTCACTGCAGACCACTGCAAGTCTTCTTTGCACAGCCTGATTACTTTATTGCCACTTATTCCTGATTATTCTGCCAACTGCCAACTCCAGAGACTCAATTCACTACCGCAACTG